GGAAAATTTTCAAATTCTTTTGAAATATTATTTGGTTCTTAAATACATATGCTGACTCCAAAACAGCGTTGTCAAAAATCCAGCGGTTGACTGATGTATTTTTTCGATGATCAATTGACCATTTTTTCACCGTAAGCTTGCCCTGCGTGCACCTCAAGTTCACCCCAAAAGTACTTCCTAAATCATGAAACTGGGGATTAATTGTAGAAATTATTCATTTCATAATGTGTTCATATAATACAGTATCTGCTCTAGAAACTAATCACAAACGCTTGATTTAAAAAACTGTTACGCTTACACGATTGTCTGTTTCTTGTTTGCAAAGGGTACACTGTAAAAAAAATATGCGTATCTAAAAAGCACAATTCCTAATTATCATTCTTCCTTTTTGGAGCGGTTTTAAAATGCTACTCTGAGGAGCACTTTCAAAAAGTGTTCTCACCTGGAATATTTTTAAAAGCATTTCAAAAAAGAAGCCTGAAGAATAGGAACCGTTCTTTTCAGGTGCAGTTTAAAAAGTATTGTTTCTCATCACATTTTTGTAAGTACCTCTACTTGAAGCGCTTTTCTAGTCGAAATATTGCATAGTATTTTCAAAATGTATTATTCCTTGGCAAAAGGGATTGTATATTATTCGAGTCTTTGCTGCTTCAAAGCTGAGGTAGGCTCCACTGCACCTTAGTCATTTTTTTATCTGTTGTCCTGTAACTGCGAGCATTGGTCGTTTTCATTATTATAGCATTAAGAGCAACAGACAGGTTTTTTGGCGTAGAATACAAGAAATAATGAGACCACCTAACGCGATAATCTCTACGCCAAAAATGTTGCTCTTAATGCTATAATAATGAAAACGACCAAAGCTGACAGTTATAGGACAACAGATAAAAAATGACTAAGGTGCAGTGGAACTTACTTCAGCTTTGAAGCAGCAACGACTCGAATACCTAGGCTATTTCGTCCAGAAAGTTTCTTTAAGCGTATAATTGTACAAAAACAACAACAGAAAATGAAAAAAAATTGCTCATCCGCGTAAAGTTTTTTGAAACAAAGTAGAGAGTTAGATAAATTATACATGAAACAATTTATATTTATAAGCGACAAACATAAAGCAGAATGAGCTAAATACACCTTTATTTTTAAGATTCAAAATTTCAGGTTAAACAAAGTCATTAAATGCTTAAGCGCTCATACTACTAACTATTCCACGAAGGTTTTACATGTAGGTCAAGAGGTTCGCCTTCCGGTGAGGGGTCGAATGGTGTATACTATGTTCAAAAAATATTTATTTTTCATAGATGTATAGTAGAAATTCATTCAATGGAAGCTAATAACGTTTTCATCAAAGTGTGTTAGTGTTTTCTTCTGCAGCTTTGTAAAAGAGCATTTCTTCAAAAAGTGTTCACGGTAAAACCAGTTTAAAATGCTCCTCATCTTGCCACTTCAAAAGAGATTTGTTTTTATTAGTGTTCTATGACCCCATAGTTTCAGACGTGTTCTTTTGCTTCTAACGTCGAACAGTGAAGCCTTTCAAAAGTTTTCTGCTATGGATCACTTCAAAAATGGGCTTCTCCTCGCCATTTTAAAAGTAATCTTTTCGAAAAGTGTTCCGCTGAAAAGCGGTTTCTAAGAAGAACACTTCTAAGCACGCATTTTTTTTTACAGTGCAGAAGTTGAAATATGCCTGTACACATTTAATAAATACGGCTAAAATAAAGAAAATGGTCACCAGCGCGACATATCCAGAATATCACGTTTTTATAAAAACCTAAGGTTTCCAGAAATTTTAGTAAAATACAATTCAAGAGTAAGTGGGATTGAATAAACGAGAAAATCAACTGGTTTTCACAATTTTGAATGATTGTTGGCTTTTCTCAATTCTTCCTTTTTCCTTAAAAAGATAACTGCGTCGATCGCATCCTATATACCTTTCTTCCTGTACTCTTCCTTTATATATTTCATCACATGGATGATCCCAAGATGATTTCCCAGTATCGAAATTAAAATAGTACAATTCTTCATTTTCATGTGGGTATTGCTAAAAGACGCGATTCGTGGGTGTTCGCGTCTTTTAGCAATACCCTTTTCATCTAGACATGGCTTCCAACCAGATGGCAGTGGCTTCATAATACCTTCCTTTGCTAACCACATCAAATGAGGTTCCTAGAATTGTCGCATTTGTCAGTAAGTATCAGATGAGAAGTAGTATGTGAGAGAGAGAAATCAAACAGTCAAACCTTCTCAGGATCAATGCCGATATAAACTGCATACTCTTTGATTTCTTCCGACGTTGGCTCATAATTTTCATCATATTGCTCTTGCAAGATGGTTTGATTATTGATTTTATATTCTGGAAGAGTTTTGATCATCTTCCCTGATTAAACAAATTTTTCTAGAAAATTCTTCAAACCAACTACGCATGTACTTAGTTAAATTTTATTCTTGAAAGTTGAAAGTTTATTTTATGCCCAAGAAAACATCTCGTAACAAAGAAAAGCACAAAAAAACCAAAGGCTTGTAAATAAAGTGCTACCACGCGGAAAAGAGAACAACCGCGAAAAGAGAGTATAGAAGAAAAAAACAACACACTTATAAGGATAGGTGAGCGCGTAACACTCGTTTGAAAGTAGGAATAGTTTGACAAGATACAACAGTATGTGGCAGGGAACATTACCAGTGTGTCATAGGAATAAAATATTGTTCATAATCACACAGACACAAAGGCACTGTGCTATATGCATCCGATATTAAAACATGTTATGTTTTCTGCTGCTGTCTATTACAAGATCTTAAAAGAGACTGAAATAAAGCGCGATTTTGGTCTTCTATGGGATTTCATATGACACTTGTCTCAGCAAATTTATAATACACAAGATATATAACTATAAAAACGTTGTGTACGCAAGTTGATGATATACCACACTATACGTTTAAGCTATAGTAAACAAAATAGAGCATAACAGATTATGATATGTATCGGAATTCCAATGGAGAATTTAAAAAATGTCTAGAAGCAATAATAAACATTTATCTAAATTAAAAGTGTATTCAGTCATTCCCTTTGTAACAACAGTAATATACAACCGCTCAGTAATTTTCCTCTATTGAAGCTTGAATTTTTATGTTGTGTTGACCTACCTACTTGGCTTTTCAACTGGTTGATTTTTTTAATAGATTGTCCTGATTTATGCGAGAAATCGAAAAGAAATTGCCTCTTGTGGTAAATTAGTTTCTGATGACACAGAAAATCGACAATACACAGCTGTTTCACAAATTCACAAGCTTTAACAGGTTACTTATTTAGTAACTAGGACTTGTATTAGGCGCTTGGATGATATTTGATGTTGAAATAATAATTGTTTTACATTAGAAGGCATAAACGAACTAAGAAATGGCAGTATTAAATCATACGATTCGGAAATATATTTTAATTGTGTTATGTTCTCTTGTTTTGATATCATCTATTTTAACTTGTATACTCAGCATTTATCGTTTACAACGTAATAGTCATATATGGAATAAAGGACAACAAATTCCCTATGTGAACTATAAAACTCAAAAACAATATCCCATTATGTCATTAGTGGCATGTTTATTCATCTTAATGATCGCTATTTGTGGTTTAATGGGCATTCTATTAGACAAATCATTATTATTAGTATTGTGTATTGTTAGTAGTTTAATTATGGGAAGTGGTCTAATTATATTAGGAGTTATTATACTCGGATTTATTGAAAATATTTCGGAAAATTATTCATATCACTTAGAAGCATTGTTAGTTAATTATATCGAAGACGATGGTTAGTAATTCGATGATTTGATATTGAATACCTTTGGTACATATTGTGTAAATGTTTTAGATGAGAAAGCCAAGGAAGAGTTGAGAATAGTTGAGAATAGTAATGAATGTTGTGCAAGTGAAGATCCAAAATGGTTAAAAGTATCAAGGAAAGAATGGTAGGTTCAATTGGTCAATAAGTTATCATCGACAAATGGTCTGTTTTTTTTGTCCATTTTAGTAGAAAATCCCTCACTCGTAAAATTATTTACAGCGATTTTACTCCGAGAGGGTGCACAAAACTTGTCATCATTCAAACATTATCAATTCTTCAATTAATCATTTTAGATATTACAACAGGATGTTTGACTATTTTTCTTGGTATATGGACAGTTACTATCACATGTCGAATCATTGATCAATATGATGAAGTTTTAAGACCGTTGCCAATTAATACTGTTGATATAGAAAATCAGAATACACCACAAAGATTATTGTATCCTGTTGTTACATCATTAAAATCAACGACAATTGTTTAAAACTGGTATGGTAAATTTATAAAAAATATAAAATCAAACGAACTTTTCTAGTTTGCTCCAAATAATATATATTTACAATATGAATTAACAGTTATCGTCAAAAAAGAAAAGAAAAAATATAATGATTCCGCCTATTAATTATGTTAGATGATTTGGGTGATTACATGTGTCGACAAATGTGCACGCCCATTTTCATTCTATACACCCATTATATTAGAAAATATACAGTGCATCACAAATACGATGCGTGATTGTATATGTTGGTAAAAAGAGTAAAAATGTTTCGCCGCCAATAGACAATCTAGAAAATGTTGACAAACATGGATACATATATTGTTGGATAATCTACAGTAAAATGATTGATGTTTGTTAGACGGTCATATGAAAGAAATAAACAAGAAGCTATGATTCAATTCTATCAGAAAGGAAGAAGCGACGAAAAAAGAAAAATCAGAATAAAGGAGAAATAGAAATTCATGGAAAAAACAGCACTAATTATAACTGGTCACTATAAACAAGATCTACATTCGGTAAGATCAAACTTATTATCTTTAAAAAACATCATGTTTTTCCAAGGAAAAAAACAATAATAATCAAATGAAAAAGCCTTAAAATTATTTTAGTCAATATTTCATCTGTTTTGCTCTATGTGAAACTGACTTTATCTACAAGTATAATTATTTTGCTCTCTTACTTTCTCTCTCTCTCTCTCGAGCCACATGTGGTGTTTCATCATAGATTTAACATTCGATCTTGATTTATCTAATGTCATAGATATACTCAGATTGAGTTTATGTAAGAATATTAGAATCGAATATTTCGTGTAAAAAAAACAGTTTCAATGGCAAAAAAGGTTTGTTGACTGACACATTGATCAAAAACCGATTACAAAAACTATTTTTCTGTTAACACTGTCTTTTACAAATGAGAATCCGATATCAATACTCTTTCGTATATTTATTCAGTTCTACTGGCTTTCGTCTACTTCTATTTTGTTGCTTGTTTTTACCCTCTGTAAGATGGCATTCTTCTCATCGTCTAACACAAAAATGTTTGTATTTACGATTGTATATCTTTAAGGCATACTAGGCTTCTAAAGTAAAAGAATTTAAATGTAAAGATACGTTAATCGCGTAAGTGAAACTGTCTTTAAAATAACTGAGAGATTACGTCAATCGACTCTTTCTCATATCGGTAATATATTATACTATACCAATCTGAATCATTTTTGCTACTAATAACAAAATACATGTAAAACTAGAAATATTGTATATTCTTAACGAGCATACTTATAGTAGTTATTGAGACAAATATAAAAGACCTTGAATTGACCATAGTAAGGAATGTGTTCTTCATGTGTGTGTGTGTTTTCTTTTTCTACTCATTCAAGATGATAGGGTTTATTGATTATAAGTTAACATTTTTTCCTACTTTCCTGTTCGACAATGTATGTTTATTTTCTAGGTGTTAATGGCAAAATAAAAGTTTACTTGTTCGCACAATGAAGCTGTTGTGTGTAGAACAATATATCACTAGAACAAATCATTATCTCTACTCTGTAATCATACAGGTCACTAAAATAATAGACCACTACAAGATTCATCTCTCTTATTATTTCAGTTAATATTCTTCCAAATGTCGGTCAATGTCAGGTGCTAAAATAAACTGTATAATAAATAATTTTGTCAATTGTCTTGTTTTTGTCAGTGTGTATAACATCATGTTGTTAATCTGTTCTCTACAATTTTTCTGTTATTAGATAAATGAATTAGTCTAATTATATTATTAATCGTTTTTGCTGTATACCCTTTGTGATTGATTAGTAGTAAAGATGATAGAACGTCTTTTATTTATATATAACCATTTAGCATTCATAGTAAACGAAAAGGATAGGAAAGAAACAGCTAGATAGTTCCATCTGTTTGTCATTTAAACGAAACAGTGTCGTCGTATGTTTGATAAATATATTGGTCTTTCATCAATAGTATTGTCGCCATAAGCAATTATTACATCAAGGAAATCATTATAAGAATATTAGTATAAAAAAGAAAAGTCATTATATGAACAGCTGTTCATTTTTTAAGATTTTAAATTTTAAAAAAATTTATTAAAATAATCATTTGAAATATCCACATATATATTTGTATGAGAATATTATGAGAAAAAAAGGCAATAAACAAATATCTATATATATGTATTTATACTCGAGTATATATATATATATATGTATATATATATAGATATATACTCATGACATTTTTTTTTCCTTTTTCCAAAGTAGAATGAATAATTTGTATTCGCATATTTGACACAATGAATTTTTCTACAGATAGATTTTTTATGATCAAGTGTATGACATAAAAAATGACTATTAGGAAAAAAAAAAAAAAAAGAACATTATTGTTTCTAGTAGTTTTTATTTTTATTAGAAAATTAATGTTGTCTTAAAGGTCCTTTAGTATAAGTATTGAAACATTAAATCATGCTGTTACTACCCAGATATAAAAGTGATGAAGAACACTAATAGTAGAAATACTTTACAAAAATAACAATAGGATTTCTGGAATATCAATAATCATTTTTTCTGTATTAAATGATAAGAAAAAGCAAAAAAAAAAAGTTAAGAAAGATAATCCTACTTTAGGCGTCTGTAACGTTTATATGTCAAGTTTAGTGTGTGCGTGTGCGAACGAAGTAAGAGAAAATGACTATTGGCATATTTTAAGGATGGTGATTAGAATCTAAACATTTGTTTCTCTTGAAAACCCTATCATTTCTAAAACAAAAACAGACAAAAAAAAAAAAGACAACACTGATTTTTGATCTTCTCTGTGTGAAAAAAAATAATATAATATAGTACGTTGAATACAAAACAATGATTTGTGTGTATCATATTTGAAATTCTAAACATCCCTCGAGCACCTTAATTTGTAGTTGTTGTTTTTTTCTGCATCTTGACAAAGATGACTCTAAAAAACAAAAGGAAATAAATGTTCTGATGTGATTAAGTAATATATTGACATTGTTTATGAAAGAAGAAAGAAAGAGAACTATTACCAAATATATTCGAATTAACAACAGCTATACAATGTCGTTTTAACCGTCGTTCAACATTAATCATTTGTGATTAATGTTATTGTTTTTTTCGTAATTATCTTACTATCACCATATTATTGCATTAATTTTCTTTTTTAGTAGTATCAATCATACCAAAACAGATTAATTAAATTTTCCATTGAAAGATACCTTTAAACATGTTGTATTTTCTTAGCTTTTAAACTCATTGTTTTTGAGAAGAAAAAAAACTGTTTTTTTTTTTTTATTCCAACAAAATGAAATTTGTACAGGTATTTCACATGTTATGTTTGTCTATTCTTTTCAAATATTTTGTTAACTTAAGTTTTCTTGTCTTTTCTATTGAGTCGTCAAGATTATAAGAATTTGTTCTACTACTGGACAATTATATTGAGAATAAGTATCCGAGAATCAGTGTTAGCTTACTGGAACGAAGGATAAAAAGGAAAAATTTAGTCTGTTAGTTAAACGGAACTAAACTATTTGTTGTTGTGAGTTCAAGTGTGATTAGTACCAAAGAAAAAAAATAAGCAAATGAGTGGGCGCAACACCTTCAAAAGAGCAGAGGTGAGAATCTCAAATCATTTTCCAGTTGTAATTTGGATTTCATACTGACATAATAATCAAATATAATAATAATGATAATAATAATAAAACTTCAGAAAAAAAAGCTTTTTAGTTTTGAAAAATTTTTTTTTATTCGATATTCTTTGAAGATAATTATCAGTAGTAGGTTGTTCCCTTCATTCACTCTGTTCAAATTTCGTATATAAGAAAAAAAAGTTATGATGAAAAACAGTCGGTTTATCTATCCATTTTTTATTAAACTAGAAGGTAAGATAGAGAGAACAAAGGTTAGATACATTAGTTAGAAGTAAAAATTATTTTGTTTAAGATTTTATAAGACTTCATAGTTCAGAGACCAAAGCACAGTAATGTCAGATACAGCAGGTATCTCGAATTTCAAGAAAATTTGCTGTTTATGTTTTGTAATGACATTGTGGAGATTTTCAGTGATGAACACTGTGTTCACTCATCTTTGACAGACATAGAGAAACAATATTCAACACAAACTATGTTAATTATACAACTAGAAGCTAAATGTTCTGTTTCTTATCACATAGGTATGTCATACGGTGAGTAAGATGGCTTCAGACTGCCAAAACTACAGTGCTCACTCTTTCTTCATAAACTGTATATTTTTTAGAGATTTGCCTCAACATTTCTTGTGAAGCTATAGATATTATGTGCAGTGATTCATGAAGATTTTTTTCATAGTTAATTCCGAGATACTAGCAATTCGACTATTTCTATTTATTAATTTTTATTTAATAATTGCTCATTACCTGAAGTTTCAGTAGTTTCTCTGTTCTGTCAAATTTTTTATCAATTCAATATCAATACTGAACTGTAAGTTATGGTAACTCTATAGAACAGAGCACTACCAAAAATGAGAGAAGACATGATGTCTTATAGGACCTGATCTTTTTAAAATTTTTGGTTAACTTCATATTTCGACTGTGAACAACGTATTATCCAATGAATCATTTCATGTAGTCTAAAATTCCATATCGTATAAAAATCTTGCAAGATTCTTATAAGATGCTGTGAATTTCTTGTTACTTCCATAGAAGTCTAACAGAAAAAATTCTTGGACGTTAATTAAACTGCTTACATATTTTAGATCCATTCGTAAATAAGAATCGATCACTTGGGATATAGAATCCATTCATTTTATTCTCTCAGCTTTAAATTAAGTTATCCAGTTCGAAAGCCACAATTTCCTTTCTTCTTTTCTCTCAGTAATCTAATAAATGCTTTTTTTCATCATGAATAATCCTATGCAATAAATTTGAACAAGGAGTTAGTCCTTATTTGAAGCACTCCCTCTAGAACGTATGAACATCCTTAAATGAATATTACGAATATTAATATATAATGAATTAAGATTAAAAATTAAAATTATAATCGATATATATAATTTTTTATACAGACTAATATAAAAATGTAACTATTTACTTGACATGATGACATATCTACTAGATAAAAAAATATACTATCAAATTGTTAAGAATAGGATTTATGTTAGATAATAAAGAGAAAATTCTGATTTTTCATTATATTATAAAGTCAAAATATGAGTTTGAGCTGAAGACAGACAGACTTTTGCACTTAGAAGAAAGGAATTTGTAAGTGACTACGTTTCCTATTTGGATTATTTTTCGATGAAAAAAGCGTCGTTTGGATCAGATGTGGTCAAAAAATTGCAGCTTCTTAGACAATATATGAGTGATTATCTTTTCGCGTACGTAGTCAATACAACAACATAGATTTAATATATCGTATTGGGATTCTCCAATCCTTCTATAGATTTCATGCAAAATCTTTTAGGGTTACATATGACCCAATAGGATTTTACATACCATCTAATATGATCCCATCGAGAGCTTTCAGCTAACAGAAGAAAGAGAGTAATGTAGTAGCAAACTATTAGTATAATTGACGATCTAATAGAATTAGTAATGTTATATCTCTATACTAAATCTAACACGCAGAGCTTGTTGCATTGAAAATTTCTACTGCTGAATAAAAGTTTGCTTTCTGTATAGCAAGAACTAAAAGTCACAAATAAAATGTCAAACTAGTGTGACTTTAGTACTTTAATTTGTAGTTGCAAATCTATAATATGCTATAAGTAGCGAAAATAATGAAAGAGAATCTGAACTACTGCGAAAATAATGAAAGAGAATCTGAACTACTACTCTTTCTTTTAAGAACAGGGTATTAATACAGTGTAGAATGTGTGTGTGTGTGAGAGAACAAAAATGAAACTATTTAATTTGTTTTTAACACAAAAATTTTTTTCTCTTCTCAACATAAGCCTTCGGCAGTGTATAATTTTTTTCGAAAAGTTATAAGCATAACTTGTATACGTAGGTGTCTTGTTTGGTGATACGAAAGTATTTTAGTAACGAAGAGAAAAAAAATGGTAATTAGAATAATGGTCTTTATCAAACTGCTGAGATGTTGTTCTTCTTTTCTTGACTGATGAATGATCAATTTAATTTATGTTCTTTTTTTCCCTAGTTATATTATATATCAGAGAAAAAAAAACGAATCTTTTTTGTTGTTGTTGAATAAATTTGAATATCGTCTCTCTCTATAGTTGTGACAGATGTAAAACTATTCATTCGTACATAATTTATTCACACACTGTATCTATATGACAGATTTTTAGTCAGTTTCTCAATTTTTCGACAATATATTTGGTATATTTAGCGATGAATTTTGAACTTATAGTCAGTTTACAAAAATCTTTTTTGAAATATGAGTAAGGATGAGAAATGGACTCTGATAATAGAATTGTTTATTTTTTTAATGTTCATCCACTAGTGGACGATCAGTCTGATCTAGAAAGGTTGAATCAGCTATGAAGTTTTATTAGGACTGAATAAGAAAAAACTAAAAATTACTTTCTATAAAAAGTTTTTTTCTTCTCTTTTACTGCTTATTGATTTAGAACTGAATATCCGTGTCGGTGCTTTCAAAGCTGACTCAAGTAACCATATGATCCTGAAGGCTTCGGAAGTGCGCGTAATAAAAACAGTCATATCCTCCTGTTCATAGAAACACTGTTCTTGAATATTTATGATCTTGTAAGTTATCTAATTTTTGTAGAGTAAAGTACGGTAATTCAGTTATTTTTCTTCTACTCTTATTAGTATTTTTGGAAAAACATTTTTAGTTTTGAAGATTTTTGGGCGCACTTTGGCCGCATTATAGATGGGACTCTTAGCTACCTGTCCGTGAAAAATCCCCTCGAATACTCTCAGGATAATGATCTTAAAAACTGAATTAGATGAACTTTCTTGAATTGTCCGGCTTGGGACTATTCAAGAAAAGACATAAAGAGATGGACACAATAGAGAATCCCCCTACGATCGAAGACCTCCCTGTTACAAGACCCCTCTTGAACTCATAACGCAAAAACCATGTTAGAAGACCCCTTTCAAAGTTATGAACGCTAGGACGTGATATAAGACCCAAGTCCTTTATTGTGTCCATCCCTATAGTTCCTGTTGGAGCAATTCAATAATCTCGTTAAAAGTGAGCGATGTTTTTCGATGTTCATAAAGGCTAAGTATCTCAGGAATAATGAGGTATAGACAAGAAAATTTCTATACTATTGAATTTCTCGTACTCTTAAAAACACACTGGTATCAAACTCCAAGTTATCCGATCAGAATTAGCTTGTTTTCTATAGAAGTCTCCCTAGGTGTAGATCTGGCCTAAATCATTTTAAAAGTGAATGAATATATTCAAGAATATTAAACACAAAACCAGAAAATTCAGTTCTGAATCCGTCACCAGATTCGGAGCTGAATGAACTGATCAGAATTATTGGCTCTGGATCAGCAGATACAGTTTAGTAAATTTTGATTTAGTCCTGATAAAACTACATAGCTGATTCAGCTTTTCAGACCGAGTTGATCGTCCACTAGTGTAATGAAGAAAGGAAAATGGAAAAAACAAAAAAAACCTAAAAAGCCAAAATGTGAAATTTTTTCACGAAAAGCAAGAAACGATGGCAACCCTGTACTGTATATAAGACAAACACGTATATGACGTAGTTGTTAGTTTTTGCCCATCTTATACAAACGAAACAAAAGGTGCGTTGTTTACATACCAAAGCCCTTATTCTTCAACGTAATGTGAACATCATTTCACTTGCACTTTTTACAGCTGTACAGGGTGATCGAAAAAAAACTTACCCCCTGTGTATTTATGGACTTTCTTGTGTACAAATATAATTGAATTTTTTATCATTAGTTTATTCGAATAGAGCAAAGATTTCTGGACGAAATGAGACGTCTCCGAGCTCTCTATAAGCTTTTCTCATGAAACAGCATTCAGTTTACGGAAGGTCCCATACCACCAAAATCGGGACAATCAATGGGCAAACAAGAAAAATATGCTCTTTGGACCTTCTGTAAATTCAATGCTGTTTCATGAAAAAAAGTTCTTATAAGAACTAAGAACTTTGCCGAGCTCGGAGACGTCTCATTTTGTTCAGAAATCTTTGCTCTATTCGAATAAACTAATGATAAAAAGTTCAATTATATTTGTACACAAGAAAGTCAATAAATACACAGGGAGTAAGTTTTTTTTGGATCACCCTGTATCTATCTATTCTTTTTGACTTTCAAGGTAGTAGACACAAAGGTGCAGGAGGGCGGTTAGTGTTCTTTTGAAACACAGTCGATTAAAATACCATTGAAAAAGTCTGAATCAAATCAAGAGTGCAAACTTTTAGGAGATACGTACAGTAACTTGGAATAGAAAGATATTTTATTTCAATACATGAAGTTTTTATCAGCAAATCGCTGTTAATAAAGTTTAGGTGAGATAATCAGTCCAAGGTTCTTTTCGCTCTGTATATTATAATTTTAAGCTCAATATCTTTTAGATCCATTAAGCTGATGAACACACAATCTATTGTACATGAATTTTTCTTAGTTTTATGAACTGGGATAAACAGAGCCAGGTTTTTGAAATACACAGTTTTCTCCTCTATCGTTTCTCAGGAGTAACCTTTCGATATAGTGTACGAAGGAGTTGTTCGGTAGTTGTTTTTTAAGATAGATTTCTTTCTTAGAGTGAGGTTAGAACGCATGACTATCCCGCTTCATTCACAAAATGCTAGATTACAAGCTCAGGTAACGAAGTGACATTAGCCGTAGTGTCTACAGATATTCATTCTCTGAAAGTCGAAGCGTGAGTGCTCTATGGGCCTCGTACAGCCAACGCTATTTGAGCTATAAGACATCAGCCATTCTCGCTTTTATTTTGAGATCAAATATGAGCCATATGTCAAGCATTTAGAAATACATGAAAGCACTTAGAAAAAAGTAGTTCAACACTCTTATAACCATAAACGTTTTGCATGAGTAAGGAAAACATGTGTTTCTGATAACTGTTGATGCATATTATGTACATAAGAAAAAAATATTTTTAAATAGTCAATCAATTTGTTCTGTTTGTTTGAATGCGAGAATCTTTCCATAGAGAATATCAGGCATATTTGACTTGCTTTATAATTTGATAAGGCTTTTTTTATTGAATTAGTATAGAAGTACATGAAACTGACATCAACAAAACGTCGTTTTCAGTTCCATTTTAACTATTAATGTCTTCTGTCGTCAGCGGTCACTTTTCTATATAAAATTGTTTTGACAAAAATGTTTTCGATAAATCTTATGCATAGTATTGGCTGAATAGTTATATGAGTTTATAACTATTTCAACCAGTACTACCCATCAAGTTGAAACAGTTTATACACGATTGATTCTCAACTGATTTTTAAACTCCTCATTACTTATGCGTAAAAAATTAAGAAAGATTTTTACCTAAAAATTTTCTTGAATTTTTGAATTTGATTAAATAAGTGTGGAGAAAGAGAAAGATGGTGGCAAACCGATCTACTTTTTTGTGTGTTTGACTTCAAAATAATATTTCTGTTTTTTACTTACATCGTTTAATGAAAATTCATGCTCGAACACATTAATAACATACAAAGTTCACTTACGCAAGACTAAAGAAGTTTATTTTCTAGATACTTGCTATATGTCTAGTGCAAACGGAAATTCTGGCTAGAGACGGCGACTATCATTCCTCATGAAACGGTGCTCTAGTTCATGATTCTCATCCCTCCACAAAATGTCATTTGGTCAGATGTACAAAGCAGACTACATCGATTCATAACCATAGTAAATTAGTGAGACTACCAATTAAGTTTGATTCAATTCACAGAGCTATTAAATTGAACAATGTATCCATAAAGTAATACGGTCTCTTGAGAACTGAGTGTCTAGAACAAGAATCATGGTGATTAACATTGAGTTAAAAAAACAGATTCAGATCATAAAGTACAAATTAATTTCGTTTTTTTAAATTAGTTTTTAACAAGAACTTATTATAAAAGTAAACATGTACCTGTTATCTTCAATTTAATTAATGCCATTCTTTTTTTCCTAAATCTTGCATTCTTTATAAAATTAAATACAAAAAACTTCTTTACTATAAAAGATAAACACTAAACTATTTATTTTTGCCATGTTTTTCGTATAACTTTGACTTAATTACAGATGGGAATTTTGTTTTTTATAGAAATGCAAATATTCGAAACTATCTTATTATTATGTTTACACTTAGTATTGTTCTTAGAAAAGATTTCTGATTCTTAATCATATTCTTTTTTTATTGATGCGCTTAATGTCTAGTGTCTTTGAAGTAATTTTATTCAGTATGCGGTAAGATTATTAAATCCGTCAAATTTCTGTGATTAAAAATATAATTTTCCATTAATTTTTTGATTTATGCAATTTTTTTATCTATGATATAATATAACTATTAGAGATGAAGACAATTTTTATTGAACGTATAAATTATTATTTCTCCGAAGAGAAGTAGGTGTTTAGCAAAGATTTTCTTAAGATTACTAGTCACACATATGAGGATAATTTCTTGAAGTTTGCCAATGAGAAAAATTTACACGTTAAATATTTTTTTTCGATTAGATACCTCTTTAATCTTCATTATTAAAATAAAAGACTTTTTTTTCTCTTCCAGTAATGTCCATTACATTTATCACTTGAGTGGTTTATTTCCGTTTGGGGTTATTTTCAGTTGAAAGAGACAATCAGTCATATAAAGAACAGCTTCTATTTTAAGGGCATAAAATGTGGCAAACAAGTTAGCTTGAGTCTATGTTTTACGAAAATCTTTTATTCATATATCTGTGGAAAACTCGATTGGTCTAGGGTAAAAAATTGCCGAAAGTTATTTATGAATGGGTTTTTCATACTTTAGATTTCGTATCACTACACTGGGGCACAACTCTCAAAATCAACTTTGGTTAACCGAATTATTGTCTATACGCTTGTTCATTATGGAAAAAAATAGCAAACAACTGATATATGAACTGTATCTGTTGACTTTCAATTTAACAGTAAAAAAAAACAAATTTATGTTAAAAAACACAATATATTAAATCAACTTCAATGTAAGTATACCATTTATTTTAAAATTGAAAATCACATGTACGTATCTATTTAATGGGAAAAATGTTGCACGGTTACAGAAATGTGCACGGAGACGTTTTTGTGCATGGTTTTTCAAGGAGTAAAAGATATTTTGTCGTTTTTTCATCCTAAACAAATAGGATGATCTATGAACAGACGTCTCGTTTAATACGAACGAGACTTATTAACTGAAATGTTCGATAAATCTTAAAAATTGGTGTAGAGTGAATTTAAGAATTATTGTGTGTTCATGTAAACAAAACCTTAAACTATATGTTAGTAAACATGCAGTAGGATTTATGATTCACCTTAATCTTTATGTTATAGCTGATCCAGCTAAATTACAAGTGTTAGGAAAACGGCGTGGACGTCCAAAAAAGCCAGGAAAAGCATTAAGTCGATCATAAATTTGGTGAAAATACTAAAAGAGGATTTTTATTTGTAAATAGCTATATGCTATATTTTTTTGGATAAACAAAATTTAATAATCAAACAACAGGGTATAGCTCGTTCTTCAAAAAGCGTGCACAGAAACGTCTCAGTGCACATTTCTGCCTTTTTCCGTGCATCTTTCTGTAATCGTGCACAAGAATGTCAAAAGATTTTTTAGTGCACGGAAAACAGCAAACCGTGCATAATTCTGGGAAAAACCGTGTACAGAAAAATCCTCGTCCCTATTTAATTATAGGAGTGGTAAAGAACTCAACAGAAATAATCATTTTAGTTCTATAGTCGAATATTTTTTGATAGATTAATGTTCGTACTTTACATATACTTAGGTCAAGAAATCTTGCTATAAGATCTTATAAGATTCTAGTACGATTTCGTAAGATTCTGTAAGAAACATAGAAACTAATTCTTGATGTAAGATCTGATAGTAAGATTTTATCAGATTTCGTAAGATTTTTGTATGATTTTTATAAGATGAGACAGTTTCTATGATCTTATTGTAAGATTTCATAACCTTAGTGAATGTACTCATGCGTGAGTACTCAAAAAGTACTCTGCTGGAAAAACCGGACGAGTACTCATACGTACTCATGCATTTTGGGTACTCACTGAGTGCTCACATGAGTACTCATGAGTGAGTAATGAGTACTGTGGATACGACTTTGAGTACTCATGCGTGAGTATTGTTGAGTACTCATATAACTTTTGGCAGAATACTCATATGTATTGTTCATCTGGTATTTTCATGTAGAGGAGCGATCTCAGGCAGCCGGAGTTGGACTACAAGTCTATTTACAGACAAGTCCATCTCTGAGAGACCAGCGAGAAAAAAAAAATATAAATATTCTATGTTTCTTTAGTAAATTCTGCATTCTTTATACAGTTCCTTTTTTGCAAAATAAAATGGTGAATGAATATTTTCTGAGTACTCACATGAGTAACTGAGTACTGACTGACTAAAACTACTCAAAAGCTGTTAGTAGAACTCATATGAGTACTCATGGTCAAATTATGAGTAAAGTCGTACTCATAGTATGAGTACTTTCACTAGGGAAAATGCATAAGATTTTCGTAAGATTTTCTAAGATTGTTCTACCTGGGTAATAATGTTTTCTTTAATTTGTTTAACTTTCTTTTAGGCTTTTAGCATGAAGTCACAGCCTAAAAAGTATGAGCAATTCATCTGACTTTAATTCGACAATTGTTTCAGAACAATACAATGCCATTGGTAAAAAAATATTACTCGGATTCCTGTTGGGCGCCTTATCTGTTTTTACCGTATGTGGAAATATTTTGGTTTTACATGCAATTCGAACAGAAAAACGTTTGCGTACGGTGCGTAATCTTCAAGTTTACCACTTTATAGAATAAGTAGAAAGCTTCTGCATTTATGTTTAGGTATCAAATTTGTTTATTCTCAGTTTAGCAATTGCAGATTTGGCTGTCGGTTTGTTAGTGATGCCATTGAGTAGCGTAACCATTGTGGCTGGGCGATGGCCGTTTAAACATAATGTTGTTTGTCTAATATGGTTATCAGCCGATTATGTGGCGAGGTAAAATGATCAAAGTTAATAGTGCATAAAAAGGAAACATAAGGATATCCGTTCTTTTTACTACACCCTAGATCAAAGAATCTTACTGTAAGATCTTATAAGATTCTTGTACGATTTTTATAAGATCGTGTAAGATCTTGATCTGCTTTTTTGACCAGATAGTATCATTTTTTATATGCTGTAGAACTTCCTCAGACCATTGTATCACACCGACTCCGTGGCGCAACGGTAGCGCGTCTGACTCCAGATCAGAAGGTTGCGTGTTCGAATCACGTCGGGGTCAAACTCTTTTTTTAGTAAATAAAATACTTTCACTGAACTACAGAACCCATGTAAAAACTAAAACACATAATATTTTGAATAAAATATTGTTTTGTCTATGTTTTAGTACTGCCAGTATATTTAATTTATTTATCCTCAGTCTCGATCGTTATTGGGCTGTCGTACATCCGTTTAGATATTTACGTAATAGAACTCATAAACGTGCTACCACATTTATTTTATTAATATGGTTGATCTCCAGTTTATGGATACCGGCAATTATTTTCTGGCCTAATTCAGATCCACTTATGGAAGATGAATGTGATACAGCGTTTCGTGGAAATAAAACATTTAAAACATTGAGCGCTTTGATGAATTTTTACATTCCACTTTTGGGTATGATTATTATATCATGTCGTATAATGCAAGCAATTCGACTACGATCTAAAATGGAAATTGGCAGACGTTTATCAGCAGCTACTCAAAAACAAATGCAAAATCCACGACCAACATCGAGAGTAAATAAAAAGATCAAACGACTTCATTTACAACAACAGCAGCGTATATCCGATGAACTATTAAATAAACGATTGAGTACTCTTCATTCACCCACTGAACTCGATTCATTTGAAACAGAGTCGAGTTTACGTGCACCATTATCTGACATCCCTAACAATCATATTGATCAATATTCATCGTTTAACGATACTTATGCATCAAATTCGACTTCACCGACAATAAATTCAACGTATTTGAAAAAAAGCTGTTTATGTTCAACAAATATCAACAATTTATTTTCTGCTTACGATGACGATGATCAAGAATCTTTTTCGGTGCAAAATATAACAGTCAATGATAAAAGATTAGTAAAATCAAAATCTTATCATGATGGAAATTATTATCTATCGGAAAATAGTAATGAGACACTGACAGTACCTGTGTCGAATTCTTCTCTTAATGAGAATAGGATGATGCAGCATCGCTCTTACAAAAATGTGAGAAATAAACTACAAAAACATCGTCATCAACGATTTTCGTTAAATTCATTAAAACCCATATTGTTTCCTATCAAAAATAAAAGTCGTCGTCCTATTGTTGTAGTAGATATAATTAATCATCATCGTAAAATGACAACATCGTTAAGCGTAGAACCATACATGCAATATCAAAATAGTGTTAACGATAAACGGCCGCATAATTTGTCTGTTACATCAAGTTTTGACGATGAACATGTAAAAACAATAATTACTAATCCACAAATCACCCTGTATCAATCACCAAACATACTGTTATCATCTTCAAAAACTACTGAATCACATTCTATAGAAGATGATCATCTTTCATCACCATATAATTTATCTGTGTAAGTTCTATTTATGTCTTTTCTATCTATGTGTAAAAAAATATTTTCATGTTCTTTTCGTTTAGATATGATCGCACACCGTCCGTTCATGATTTGAATAAATCTACGAAAATTTTAAATTTATCCGAACCACCTTTATTAAGGACCGTTGAATCTTTGCCAAAATTACCAGTATCCATAAATACTGATAGTACTTATTTATCACAGCCTCACATTAGTATTGGCTGCTGTAAATTTTTAGTTTTTCTAAAAGATCCAAGTCGTGCACATGCTCTACAAAAAGAATTGAAAGCAGCACGTCAATTAGGCATATTGGTGGGCTTATTTACTGTTAGTTGGTTACCCTATTTTATTTTATTTATGGTTGTTGCTTGGTGTAAAACATGTGTGTCAGATTCAGTTTTTCTCAGTTCTATTTGGCTTGGTTATCTAAACAGTTCGTTAAATCCACTTATTTATCCTCTATGTAATGCTCATTTTCGTCATGCATTTAAAAAAATATTCTATTGCGTTGAACGAACAAAAACAAAACTTCCAAATCTAGCGGCCTTAAAAGAATTACATTCGTTATCTGTTCGACATAAACGTCGAAAAATTGTGCATTAATATGTGATTTTCTATTGTGTTTAAGTACTTTTTTTGTCTATTCGTTTCATTCCGCTTTCTTTTTTACTGTAATTTTGGGCAGAAATATAGACGCAATAAAATTATCATCATTTCCCGTGCGCCTACTCTATTATATCCTAGTCATTTTCTAATTGTATCCAGTGCACGACTGCTAACTCTCATGATTTATCAGAATTTTTTCAATTTTAAGACCTTTTTCCGACTGGTTTCCGGTTTTTCTTTTTTTTTCTCTCTTTTTGAAAAACAGTATAATCTTGAAATCTTGTGAATCTCATTTTATCTTAGGATATAGTGATAAAATAAAGAAAACAAAAACAACAAAAAGGAATAAGGAATATATAGTAGCAATCAACTGTGAAAAATCTATTCATTGCAATGATCCGCAAAAAAAAAGAAATAATCTTTCCGATTTTGAACATATTTTTTCAAATTCGAAAAGGTCAAATTGGTCTGACAATAGCTCCGCTCTTCGTATTTATTACTGACTCATTTAAACTTTTGAATATTCATACTTTCTTGTTTGACAACATATATGTGTAATATTTCTGAGAAGTGCATATTAGGGGTGAGACAGTTCCAGTTCAGTTCTTTTGAACGGGAACTGGATACTAGTTCTTTCAAAAAACTAAAATTGAAATAAAATCGGGGAACATTGATTTTGTGTAGTGCGCCAGACGTAGATGGTGTGTTTAGTTGATTAAACCAAGTCAATATAACTAGCCACATCGGTTTTACTTTATTCTGAATTCTTGAACAGAACTGATAACCAGTTCCCGTTCAACAGGAACTAAATTGGTGATCAGTTCTTTCAATCAGTTCTTAGGAATTATAGAAAGTGGAATGGTCCCATCCCTAGTGCATATTCAAGGCTGACTAAAGATTTAAGATCGATAAAATAAAAATAGATTAACATTCAATAATGTTAACAATGAAAAATAACTAAGGAGAAAGTGTTAAATAAAAGAGATATAAATATGAAAATGTTTAGAATTTGTCTATGACAGAGTTTCCTGTACTGATTTATTTAATAATTGAATTCTCTTGTCATTTCAAATAATTTATGTGTCGAACAATCAAAATACAAATTGATGATATAACGTTAATGACATTCCAAGATTGTTCATGTAACTTTTAATAAAAATTCTTTTCTTTGCTGTAAAAATTTTTTATTGAATGAATTATCACACGATAACAATTGTTTTTTAACTCAGAAAATATTAGTCTGTAAACTGATATTCGTATTCACATCGTATTATATGGTAATAAAAATATTTTAAATTTCTAGTAATTAATGTCTGTCTAATCTGTGTAAACAAAAGTGAATATTGAAAACTGATATTATCTCTAAAATTTCTAATTATTTAGTCAAATTTTTAGAATACTTTGTTCGATGTATATTACACTTTAAATTTAGTACTCAATTCAGAGAAAAATATTTTTATATTTAATTAATTTAATGTAAAATGTCTATTCATTATAAAGACTAAATCTAAATTGTCATATTTAAGAATGAATATTAATAAGAGTTATTGTTCTCTAATAAATACTCTATAAAAAAGAATTTATTTATTATGTAAGAAAGAGTCGTGTGAAAATGAAAATGTTTTCTATTTATGGACTATATCTTCGGTATAGTGAGAAAATGACAGAAAATTTTGTTACAGTTATCTGGGATTTGTTTCTTATCCATTATTTAGTTTTTCTGTATTAAAAAAAAAAAAAAAAGGATGACTAAATGACTTTTTTTGTTATTGTTAATGGTTATAATATTTGTACAAAGAAGAAGGAGAAGAAGAAGAAGAAAAAAGAGAAAACTAGTAGAACTAGTACTTTATTTCTTTTTTATTCAGTTGTATGGTCTCTCATAGTATATTTGGTCATGATTGAGTGAATGAACGGAACTAATCTAATTTTTCTATATGTGAAAGAGAAGAAAAAATAATTTCTTATTTTCATTTGTGTTTTTTTATTTAGTAATTCAGCACGAAAAGAAATAGGGAATCTATGTATGTAAAATTGCAAGACATAGTCAAGTGAAATGCCATAGTTTATTATCCCTCTCTCTCTATATATTTTAATCTACAAAAAAGCTCTCAATGGAAAAAATAGAAGATGATGAAGAAGAAAAGGAAAATATAAAATATTTCATAGTATATCATGAAAAGATAACAAGACAAAATTAGAATAACGAAAACGTTTAGTGTATGTTGTGTCAAGAACAGACAGTTGTGATCATGTCAAAAATGGTTGAACAAACTGGTAAAAAAAATGTTTTGTTAAAATATTTGTAAAAATTAATGAGGAAAATGAAAAAAAAAGTAGTAGCCATGTATTAAAGTCTATATAAAAATTATCATTATATCTTAAAAGATACATAACGAATGATAATAAGATTAATAAATAAGTCTAAAAAAAATATTGTTATCTTTTTGTTTTTTATGTTTAGCATACGTATCCGATTTACTATCACCGATTATTGAAGATGTTTTATCAATATGTGAGAATAAAGATGATTTTGATAAATTAAAATCAGGTTTAAAATTAATTGAAAATGCAAAATTATATGATTTAAAAAAAGATTATTATCTTGCTATTCGTTATTATCGTGAAGGTATTGATTTAATTATGGACGAATTTATGTCAAGAACAACTGGTAATGAACAATCAAAAGAATATTTAAGATTAAAATGTCATAAAATATTAAATCGTATTGAAGAATTAAAAAAATTAATTAAACATTATGAAAAAGATACATTTAATCAAGCTATTGATGATGAACATACAAATAATTCTAATAATTGATTACTAATAATTATGTTACTATTTTTATTATGTTAAATTGTTTAACATTTTTAACTAATATTAATATTTTATTCTTTTTATTCTATTATAGTTTTACAATAACTTTTTAAAATTCATATAATAGATACTCTTAAATAACATTTTTATTCTTCTAATTCATGATACTTTCACAGTCTAGTTTTACTACAAATTGTTAAACTATTAAAATCTGTATATATCATATAAAATGATTTTCTATAATAATTTTTTTGAGATTTTATTAATTTTAGACATATCATTTTTACACACATTTTAATTAATATAATGAATTCAAATATTTAGATAAATATTTGAAAATTTAATAAGAGATTTAGATAAAAATTTGATACTAATTTTTCTATTAATTATCCGTATCGCATGTATAGATTTACTCTGAACAATGCATTCTGTATTTTAAGTATAGGATAATAATTTTATCATTTTTTAGTCTATCGTTTGATTATCTGTAATTCATAGAAGAAGAAGAAGAAAAAAATAAAAATATAAAAGATAAAAGAAATAATATTTTTTTTACGTCCTATGAATATTATACTATAAGGCTGTTCTTCCATTCATTTTCTGGTTTTTAAATACAATGAGAAAAAAGAAACCGCGTACTTTATGATGACAATTCTTTTTTTCTCCTGCATTTCTTCCTAATTTATTTTCTTCGGTTTCTTTTTGGTATTATTTTTGCATTACTTTTTCTTTTTTCTTCCCCTTCTTCTTCTTCTTCTTCTTCTACTTCTACTTCTTTTATTCTTGGAAATGTGTCGACTCAATTGCGTGAAAAAAAAAGAATGCAGTAAAAATTTTTGAAAAGCTCTAAATATGACCTTTATACAAGTCTATTATATAGATTCGATTTAACTAAAAATATAAGTGCAACTTTTATTAGTTAGATACTCTTCGAGTTTTCTTTACATGTTAAACGTAACATTATTTTAGATAAATTCATTTAATTAATGATACATGGCGTGTACAGTAGCATGTAAATACCAATCAAAAATGCCTTAAATGTGGTTTAAATTAAGAGATGACTCTAATATGCCAATATAGTGAGTATATAGTTCTAAATAGAGTTTTTCACGAATCGATTAGACATTTTAAATATAGTAATAATATCGTCGAAAACACGTTTTTCAATGAAAGATGCTCAGTTTGATTGAAAATACAAAATAAATTTAGAAATTATGAATTTGTCTACTTTGATATCGAATTATAGTTTCATTTCTGAAAGGAATATGTTCAAAGAGTTTGTTAGACATGGAAAGTGATGCTGAACAAATGAGGATACTTCGTTCTGTGAGTGAATGTATGGTAGAAGGAAAGTACATTTGTCCTGATAGAAGAAAACACTTTTTATAAAAATACTTTTCATGTATTTTACCTCTGGAATGGGAAAGACTATATATAAGTATTTCACGAGACTTCCGAATTGAGACCACTTTTTGATAAAATATCTTAATTGTCTCTTAAGTCTTTGTTGACATCAAACAAACATCAGAGGGCGGGAAGCAGAGAGTGAGTGCAAAAAAGTTGTTTCAATTTGGAAAGAGCCATATTTCACTTTCACGCACTAATTATAATAAAGTAATTTCTTGAAGTAATTCTACAAACACATTTAATAGAAACATACGTTTCACACAAATTTAAATACGAATTGTTTCGTTTAAAAAAGATGATCAGAAAATTATTTTCCATATTACATTTATAAATAAGATATCTTGCTTGGTCTCACAGAGGAGTACGAATACGATATTCTTTTTCTCTAAAAAATGTGAAATTAATTGAACGTACGTATCTTTTCTTCACTAGACTCATGAAATTTATTTCTGGAAATGGTGCCTAAATGCGTGTAAAAGACGAAATAATAGAAACGTGTTCAACTGATACTTGAAACGCGTTTCATATATCATTTAAACGGCTAAAAACGTGTTTCAAGCATTGATCGAACGTGTTTCTATTATTTTGTCGTTTACACGTGTTTGGACACCGTTTCAAACGAAAAATACACCTCATGGAGATATCTATGTCACCTATTAAAAACTCCTTATAATTTGACAGAATTGTACTATCGGGCTGTTTACCTCATGTCAAGAATCCTCATCTCATCAAGCTGTACAAGATAGACACAGATCAGATCGTACATGATTTTTTCATCATGGTCAAATTTACCGTTTAGTAATTATAGTAGCTAGACAACAATTTTGGGATACTGAAGATTGAATAATTATATAATGAAAATTTTATTAAATCAGTTTTAGTTCTTCCTCGCTCCTAGAGTCTGTCTAAGAATTTTTGTTTGTTTTGCATTTCATAAGTTGAAATAGTCTATTATAGGTAATTGGTCATGTCCGTCAGTCCTACTCTTTGTCGTTCGGTTAATCATAAATTGAACAATTGTTGTGCTCTTACTGATCATCAGACACAAGTACAAACAAGAGCATTACCTTATTCAAATTTGAGAACGAATGAACATTCAACATATTGCCATTCAACCCAAACAGCACCTCAAATTCTATATTCAACTCATCCTATTCAAGTGTTAACAAAAACCACAAATGGATTACCATCATCAACAACCGATGAAGAACAATTTTTATTACAAAATAATTTTCGTTTTAGTCTAATATTTTCTGTCATATGGTTATCTTATTGTTGGATATTAACTGAGCACTATAAATTTGATTTTGGAAAATTTACAGTAATTATTCGTTTATTATTTTGTCTACTACATGTATTAACAATATGGAAATTATTTCAATATATAATGAAACTGATACATCGATTTTATCGGCTAGTAAGAAGAATTCGTGTTTTATTACCACAACAAATATCATTGATCATTTTTTCACTCATTTTATTTCTACTTTTAACAATGGTTTTACATTTTAAACAATTTTTAAGAGATATTTTTGCCATAGTAGATTGAATTTGATTAATAAAGATTTTTTGCAGTAAGACTTCATGAGTTAGTTATGTTAGAATTACAAATTTTCTGTATTCTTCAATATAATTAACAAAAGTTTAGAGTGACAAACCGCTGCTTAGTAGGGAATGAGATATCATTACTTTCAATAACGGTAATCATCATCATTTCCTATACGAAAAACTGGTACTTACTAGTTCTAATAAGAAAGTAGTACACAAAATTGGTACCTACTGCAAAGGGTAAACGAAACAACGCACCTTTCTTTCATGGTATAATTAATATCCTCGTCAAAAGCGTAATGCCATCAAGCTTAGTATTGTTCTATATACTTTTGTTGAAAGAATACCATGTATGTTAGAATTAAGTGAATTTATCTAAGGAAAAGACTAAACACAGTTAACCGTGTTCTAGTTGTATTATGGCATTCTTTTGATCCACTATGACTACATCTATTTCAACGTTTATTCAGAATTTTTTATGAGTGAGCGATAAACAACCAGATATGTTTATAGAAAACGAATACAATAAAAACAAATAGACGATACTGTACAATAATTAACTACGATAACTACATATTTCTAGCAAACAAACAAAGAGGACACACAAAAGAGAGAAAATAAATACAATACTTGAACTTGAGTAGATGAAAGAAAGAGAAAAGTGATACTTCGTTTGTTTTAATTACGTTTATGATTCATTATGAAACTAACATCGCGGTAATCCATCGCGTGTAGTACTACAGAGATTTTACACTAAATAATTTTATAACAAATTCAAACAAAGCAAATTAAATATCACTTTTAGACTCAACTTCATCGCGTATATATATAAAACCATCTGATGCCACGTTGTTGTCATATTGTTCTGAATATTTGCATCACTGTTGTGATTGTCATCGAGAACAGACGTGAAGTGACTGATAGCTAAAAGATTGTTCATTTCACTCAAAGCATATTCTAATAAAAATTTTGCAATTGAATCGCTTTTTTTATTTAGGATCAACATAACGTTTTAATGTTTTATATACAAGGTAAAAAATATACAGTCCCATGAAGTAATTCCTGCCACTTGCATAAAGTTTCTTAGTATTTGGCGTATTTCTAAGCCGTTTTTAATCGGATAAGTGTAGTACTGAATATGAAGGTACAACTAACAATTCTCTATCCGTTGATGTAAAAATCTCCTAAAAATTTCTGTACATTCCCGAGCAGTATTCACAGGGAGACACGGGCCTCTAAACTGGCCCTGTTATTTGCCATAGCTCGGGCTGATTCATTCAAATGCATGGAGCTTTAATTACAAAACCTCTTCTGATTAAGAATAAGCCCTAATTACATAGAAATTACAACAATTTGAAGCTCTTTCCTTCTATCTCCCATACAGAGTTGGAGTTATTAAGACTTGATACAATGAAGTTAATTAAAATATAATAACGCATGGTCAAATTTCTTATTGTTTCATTTTTTTTCGAGTGGAATAATTCGGACCGACAAGCTATTTTTCTTGGGGAGACCAGTTCAATGAAATGCATGGAGTTTTCGAAGACAAACCTCTGGTGTCTTTCTGAAGGAGATTTCTAAAATACTTTTTAGAAAGATATTCGTCAAGTCATTACTTATAACATTTATGAAAATTGCATCTCATTAGCTTAAGATTAGCAGGCTCTATGATCTTAAACATTTCAATATAATTTTATACATTTTGTGATAATGAATTTACCCAGTATTATTAAATATGCTCATTAATTATGAGCACTTTATGGAAAAATTTCTCTATATATTATGGGCTGTACTCTTATGAATTGAATAAAAAACTGAGACGTGAAATTTGATTAAAATTAAGGCAGATAATATCGAAACTACAGTTAGATATTTATGAAACAAAAATATCAAAATGCTTACAAAAACTGGTTTGGTAGCTTTAATTGTTTTATGGGTACTGGCGTGCGAATTTGATTAAGGTAAGTGCCTATCATTGCGCAAAATACGATATCTCTGCCGTACATATAATCAATACATACAATCAATGATTATAAAACTAAATATTCGGTATAATTTTTTACAATACTAAGTAATTAAAATAAACTAGATATCGTATTTTGCGCAATGCTAGACACTTACCTTCTTAACCAAATTTGCACGCCAGTATCCAGTTACAGAATAAAGGCGGCCAGTTGAACTGATTCAAGGAAATAATTTCAAAGTTTCTTAATTCCGGTCTTGTCAGTAATCTTTTTAATTTAATCTACTGGTGTCAATACAAATTTCCACGTCCAGCAGAATGTTCATCTAGGTGTGCTCCATGTATGGTGATTGCATAAACATGCATAAATGCTCCTGGGCCGAATGACAGGTTTCTCAAAAACCCATCGGGTTTTCAGGTGTTTTCAATTTATCTCGATACTGAAATGTTTTCATTCAATAAAAATGACATATTCAGAATCACCGCAGGAAATTGCATCAAATGATGTACGATTAACAGGTTTTTAAAGCAGCAAAACTAGCTGGATCTAACGAAACGCTGAAGTCGAAGCACAGCTTAACAATTTCGGCTAAGGATTTTTGATATTTCCTATAGAAACAATCGGAAAGCCTGCAAACACTTTTTTTATAGGTTTTCAGATATGCTCTTTCCAATGCTGTGTAGTATAGAGTTACAGAATACTTATATGTGGGTTTTCTAGAGACTCGGCCTCCGGAGAACTCAGATGAAAGTCTCGTTGAACTTTGTAAAACACACCATTGGAAAGAGCATATCTGAGAACCTATAAAAAATATGTTTGCAGGCGTTCTGATTGCTTCTATAGGAAATGTCCGCCTGACCTATGGAAAAAATGCACACTGTGCAGGGCACGTAAGTAAGTTTGATTACTTTTAATAAGATTAGACACACTCGACAAGCGGACTAATTCCATTATGCTTTAAAGCAGAATGTATTATATTGCTAAGATCTCCCTCATTTCAAATGATAAACTATAAAAAGTTTTTTCTTGTTTTCATTCGATTACTGAGACTCCCAACTACATAATGGTGAAAGAATTTTTGGAAAATGTTTAGAAATAAGGTGAAGATAATGGAATTAGTTCGCTTGTCGAGTGTGTCGGTTTTTATTAGCTCCAATATTTGTTACTAAACAAAGATAAAAACTGAGAAAAATAATAATAAAACAGATTCTCTTGTTTGAGCAAGCAGTGTGAACTCTGAAATTAGACGGAATAAACAGTAAGAAATGAAAGAAAATATACAGATACACACAATGAATTGACACGTTAAAAACTATCGTTCCTTTATTTGCTTTTCATGTTCTATTTGGTGATCAATGAACTGTTGCCAATGACGGTCTTTATCCAACTTTACACTATTCCAATCAAACTGATCTTTTTCACCTCTCGTACCAACCGTAAAACGAGAAAAAAATGCTGGTAAATTCAAGTAAATTGGTCTTTATTTACGTAAAAGCCGATGTGGGCATACCTAGTTGGATGAAACCGCGTCATGTCAAAAAGAGATTTAAACAATGATTGCTAATTGACAAGATAACTGAAAAAAGAGCTCAACTTGCCATACCAAATGAATCACAGGCAAAATATATGACAGGATCATTTTCGGTTTACATAACAGTTGCATTTTGTTTTTACTTTAATCAAATAAAACCTCATCGATAAGAGGATAGCAACAAAAACGAAACAGTTGTAAAAAAATAGAACTATTAACAAATCTAATATAGATATATATGGTGACAATGAAGTAGAAGAGAGAAAAAAAGATAGATTTATTATCGATACAATATAAAGAATAAAAACAAAAGAAAATAAACTTACAGATAGCTCAACTGACTAGATTTACTATAACGTCGAACAAGTGGATGAAGAAGCAGCATGTGTTGCTGAATAAACTGTTGCCAATGATAGTAATAGTATAGTTGACTTAAAAACAGCTGTAGTAGTTGTTCTAATTGTTAACAAATTATCAATCAAACGCATGCACCCAGTATTTGGTCTTTGATAACCGTTTGCAGAAGATGACGTGCACACTGTACTGGAAACAGAGTTATCATCTGAAATAAGAGATCCTTCAGGTGATTGAATTAACTAGCTGTAATTGTGTTTGAATATAGTTTTAAAATTGCATGTGGGAGAGTCGTTGTTTGATTGCATCTTCATAAATAGACAGCAACATATCTAAACGTACAAAGAAAGAAGAATTTAGTGTTTTTCGAGATTTAAAGAAATTATAACTGTATACCTCGAACAGACTGGACACATCATTCGTAGCCTGGCAAACGGCGTCCATCAATCACTATAGAAAACAACAATCAAATTAAGCACGCAAAAATAAGAAACACAACAAACGAGGCTACCGTCCGTCAGCCTTCATTTCCTCGAAAAATATTCTTCCATAATGAAGAAAACCCTAGAATGAAATAAAAACAATTAACATGAAATTTTTCTCGCACAGTGATTTTCTAATTCTCAGACTGGAATATTCTTATTTTGACATCGGAAGATCTTTTAAACTTGATAATAATCGGGATGCACACAGTCTACGATAGAGAATATTCGGGTATTACTAAAAGACGCGAACACCTCCAAATTAAAATCAGAGTTAGCCAATCGATAGAGCTCGTCGAGCTGAGTATAGCAAGACCTAACGAACATCCAAACAACTTTTTTTTGAACACCCCCGAGCATCCACTAGCACCCACCCACACCAAAAAGAAAGGCAAGAACACCCCCAAAAAGTGTGGCAAATCCATCTCCAGGAAATTCTGAGTCTACTGGTACCATTTTTAACTCGAACAAAACTTAGGTTGAGGATGGTACCAGCAGGCTGTGACAACAAGAGAAAACCGAAATTGATCCTGTCCAGGTTTGTCAAGTGCAAAGTCCGCAGTTCGGAAAAAATCCTGTTAAAATCGGAAAAAGTCGGAAGAAAATTGTATTGAAAATCGGAAGAATCATTCTTTCCAGAATACCTTAACAAGGTAAAGATATCAGGCTT